GTGCTGTTCTAGTCCCTTATCAAAATTTATGATTGAGCACAGGCTATAAACTTAATCGTTTGAAATTTGTAATGGGGTGAATTAAATTTTAACCTAATTTAAAACATGATCTAGTGTTAAATTTTTCTCTGCAAAATTTGTTTATTGTTTAATATAGATTATATGCAAAGGTTTAGGTACTTTACAAAAGGTACTTAAGTGGTTACTAATCATCTTTTATTTATAGTATTTAAAATTTTATAACTATCAGAAATCTGAGCAATTTGTTTGTTAGCTCTAATTAAAACATGAAGTTCTGGAGAGGTGAAGAATCTTCAGTTTGCAAAAAATTGTGTGAATTTATGTTAGGGAAAGAATATTCACTTCTAACAAAAATAATTTTATTTATTCTAACTTATGTGTTTCAAATGTATTTTTCTTTTTCTTTAATTAAATTAATTAATTAGTGTTGATATGTAGTTCCAGGCTGGCCTAGAACTTGCTATGTAATCCACACTGCCCTCAAACCTGAAATTTTTCTGCTTCAGCATCCCAAGTGCTAAGATTATAGCCATGGGCCAACATGCCTGGTTCTTGAATGTACTTTTTAGGAACATAGAGTTGGGGGTGTGGCTTAAGAGTAGAGTGCCTGCCTAGCGAGCACAAAACCCTGAGCACCCCAGCACTGCCAAAACAAAAACAAAAACAAACAAAACACTACATTTTACAAATCTAAGCAAGTATAGTTAACGTTTGAACTACAAGTTACAAGTGTGAAATGCATGTGACAAATTAAGTAGACATCAAATCAGCTTAACATGAAGAAATGAAACTTACAGTTTAGACTTTGATACTTTCTGCATATGAGTAGTGTAAAAAGAACAGATTTATACATACATCTTTTATTTTGCTGCTCAACTTTCCTAAATTATAGGAATAAAATACTTGCTTTTTAAAAAATCGATTTCCAAATGGTAGTCAATTACTAATCAGTCTTTAGAAGAAAAACTTTTGGAGTGTTTCTGCACAGTGTTTAAGAATTACTAGTCTAAAAATAATTTGCTTTTTTTGGGTATCTCAATCTCTTTGCAAATCTGCTTGAGGCTGTGGCCCCTCTTTCCTGAAAACTGCATCTATGCTCAGACATATACAGTTTGGTATTTGGCACCATGGACTTGACCCCTCTGAAGCCCACTCATGGAGGGATCCCTTAGGCATAAAGGATTTCAGATTTTAAAATTGGCCCAAGATAGCTTACTTAAGTGATTTTTCTTTGAAACTTTATATGCAAACTTTTCCAAAAGTATTTCCCTTGTTTCTTATAACTTGTTTCTTAGAAAAGTAACTTTTGCAGCTCTTTAGAATAAAGTGAGGTATAGTGGGAAAGTGTGGTCTATCAAAGGAATCTCAGACCTATGGGCTCTTCTCCAGTTCTGCCACCAGTGAGTGAGTGACCCTGGGGGCATCTCCCAGGCTTGCTTTCCTGGGTCATTTCTGTACTTCCTTCAAGCAGTTCTGTGATATTGTGGCAAAGTTATTCATTAGCTTAGGATTGACTCTGTTCTGAATTTTGGAGAAAATGCCCTAGAGATGAGGTTTATGTACGTGTGCCGTCTTTTTACTGAGTAGGACTTTTCAGAGAGTGTGTGGGGATGCTTTTTCAAATGCTGTATAAATAGAAGTTATAAATCCTGCCCTCATAATACGAGTTTCAGCAAATTTGATACATCCCAGGCATATGCCTTTGTTATTTCTATGCATTGTGGTTACCCTCTCTAATTCTGTGGCTTGTTTTTTCACTCTTTTTAATGAACAAAAGTTCTTTATTTTAGTCCAATTTATTAGTCTTTTTCTTCATTGTATTTTAAAATGATAATATTTTACTTCTTAGTCAACAATTTGGATAAAAAGTTTAGAAAGTTATCAAATTACAAATAATACTATGGAGATTAATGCATAAAAACTTTATCCCCATAAAGAGCTAACAAAAAGTTCAAACAGGCTGGGGGTGTAGCTCAAACGGTAGAGCAAGGCCCTGAGTTCAAACTGCCCCCTTCCCTCCAAAAAATAAATCCAAACAGGAACTATAAGACCGCAGCAGAAAGTTTTAAGTGTCCATTCAGGCACTTCATTGATTTAACAAACATTTATTGAGCATTTACGGTATGCCTGGTACTGCTTTCGGCTTTTTCTTTTTTTGTCCTGTTGTTTGAGCTCATGGCTTCATGCTTACTAGGCAGGTGCTCTATCACTGTTTCATACCACCAGTTTTTTTTACTCTGATTCTTTTTCAGATAGGGTCTATCTTCATATTTATTTTCGCAGTAGCTAGGATGACACCACCATGCTCAGCTTTTTCTGTTGAGTCTGGGTCTTGTAAACTTTTTACATGAGCTGGCCTGGAGCTGCCACCCTCCCCAATCTCAGCTGTCCATGTAGCTGAGATGACAGGTGCACACTCCTCCCCGGTACTGCTTTAGGCATCTTTTGAGTGATACGATGTCCGAAAATGATAAGAATCCACTTTTTAACAACTGCATCATTCTATAGAGTTTTGCATGATTTTTTTGTTGGTTGGGGAGTCATTCTAATCTTGGTGGTTAAAAATGTCATTTAGATGGACCTGAGAATTTTAAAGAGGACTGCTCTTAAGAGAAGAGAAAGGAGAGAACAGTGTATTGAATTTCTGTTGAAAACGATTGTAAACTGAAAAGTGGGGCCCTCTTAAATAACTTTACTATGTGTTTGATATGATGGTATGCGATTAAATGAAGTTTTATAATCTTGACTTATATGAAGATCTTATATATGAAGATCTTATATGAAATATCCTGAGGAAATGAGACATTAGTGGAGTAACATCAGTCAATAAACATGCTACATTTAAGGCATAAGGAAGACACTTACAGAGTTTAAGTAATTTAGAGCTAAAGCGGCAGGGATGACGGTTTTAATTTCTGTTTGCTAATATGGGATTGGATCTCTGATTGTCTTTGTGTCTTTTTTTTTTTTTTTTTTTTTTTTGCGGTACTGGGGCTTGAACTCAGGGCCTTCACCTTGAGCCACTCCACCAGTCCAATTATTCGGGATAGAGTTTTTCAAGATAGGGTCTCATGAACTATTTGTCCAGCCTGGCTTCGAACTGCAATCCTCCTGATCTCTGTCTCCTGAGTAGCTAGGGTGTTACAGACGTGATCCACCAGTGCCTGGCTATCTTTTCTGTCTTTATCATTGATTAGATGTGTGGCATAGAACAATCACCTTGTGTATGTGGTTTATAATCTAAAGTGATGAGATGCATTTAAGAATGTGAATGAAAGCTTAATTAAAATTATGACTATTATTTACATATATTTGTTATACATATATAACTCTGTGAATTTAAAGCCTTTATAAGTCAAATCCATTTCAAGATTAATTGGAAGAAGACCTTTGAAGTGGACCAAAATACCGATGCTGTTAGTTACTCAACAGACAGTGGAGGTGATTTTTAGAGATGAGGATGTTATTTACATGAGGCACAGTTCATTCATTTCTGTGTGTCTCTTAGGAAAGGAGAACTTTCAGTTATAGTTAACCCTTGAACAACGCAGGTTTGAACTGACCACATCCACTTACACACGTTTTTTTTTGAGATTTGCAACAATTTGAAAAAACTGGCAGTTGAACTGCATGGCTAAAAATATTGAAAAATGTTGAAAAATTAAGATATGTCAAGAGTGTATAATATATAGATAATTTTTTTGTATCATTTACTATAGAATATACGTAAACCTATTACAAAAATTTTAAATTTTAAAAACTTAAGGCCGGGCACAGTGGCTCACACCTGTGATCCTAGCAACTCAGGAGTCAAGAGATCAGGAGGATCACAGATCAAAGCCAACCTGGGCAAATAGTTCCCGAGATCCTATCTGGAAAACACCCATCACAAGAAAGGGCTGGTGGAGTGGCTCAAGGTGAAGACCCTGAGTTCAAGCTCTAGTACTGCAAAAATAAATAAATACTTAAAAATACAGATGTAGCCTGGCACAGTGAGTCACATTTGTAATCCCAGCTATTTAGGATTACCATTTGAGGCCTGCCCTGGCAAAAAAAGTTAGTGAGATCCTATCTCAAAGAAGAATCTGGGTGTGGTGGTATATGTCTGTAATCCCATCAATGTGGGAGGCATAGGAAGGAAGATTGCAGTCTTGAGGATTATCTGAGCAAAAAAAAAAAAGCATGATACCCTATCTGAAAAAATAACTAAAAGCAAAAAAGACTGGGGGTGTGGCTCAAGTGGTAGAACACTTGCCAGGCAAGGGCAAGGCCCTGAGTTCAAACCCCTGTGCTGTCAAAAAACCCTAAAACACAGATGTATGTGATGCCATTCAGTGAAGAGAAATGTAAATAAACAAAGTGTAGTATTAAGTCATAACTTCATGAACTAACTGTAGTCCGTGCTGTACTGGTGTAATAATTCTGTAGTCACCTCCTGTTGCTATTGTGGTGTGGCATGCGAGTGCACATGTTGTAGGTGTCTTGTGAAAAAGGCACAGGACACCGCTAATTGCTGTGTAGACTGTGTATCTTGTTACCACTTATTTTCACTGTGTTTTTTGTATGTTGCGTATAACACAGAATGTGTGTGGGTCACTCTTACTGAGGCATCTTGCCAACTTCTGGCTGTTAGCAGTTGAGGTTTTGAGGAGTCAAATATTACACTTCAATTTTTGATGTGGGGGTGAATCTGTCCCCTGTGTTATCCCCCCACCTTCTGAATTGTTCAGAGTCACCTGTATTTTTCCTTGTCTTGAAAAACTGTGGCGAAGCACAGATTAAACTGCTCTTGCCAATGAAAACACTTACCCTTTTTTGTTTCTTTTTACTTTTGAGTTTTAAAATTTAGAGACTGGTATTTCAGTTTTTTTTTTAAAATCACATAATAATCTTTGAGCCTTCAGCTTTTGATGACATGTCATTACATGCCATAAATCTTTTTGTGTTCTAATTCCTTTTTTTCTCTGTTTCTGTTGCAGGGGACTAGAGAGCTGAAGGAGAGCCAGTTTCCCCAAAATTGGTAAGTACTCTCACTATGCAAGCATAGTGTACCTGATGCTAGTTGGAATGATTCACACATTCAGTGATTTTTTTTTTTTTGGCACAAAAAAAGCTTTCTTCCAGAAAATGAGGCTTTGCCATTTGCACTGAAAGTGAATTTTTGTTTAATTTCACAGTCATATCTCAAATGCATTTGTGTTTCTAATAATTCTGCTAGGCTTGCATGTTCCTGGATTTGATAACCTGTTAAAACATAAAGGCCCCTCTGGCCAAAAATGTCTAAGGTAGTGGTTAGGACTGAGAATTCAGTCAGAAAATTCAAAAGTTAAGATTCCCATTGTGTTTTGTATTACTTAGTATGCTGTTAAATTCGATGGCCTTAGCGGATGTGTAAAATGGCCAGGTAAATGGAACTGTAGGAAGCTTGGCTTTGAAGTTTAGAACCCTTCACTGTTTATATACTTAATATTAGATTGGCTTCAAGTCTGATACTGTGTTTTTAATGTGTGTTGTTTTGTACAGTTTTTTAAAAAAAGGAAAAACTGAAAGAGAGAGAGATAGTGTGAGGCATATAGGCAAACACATCTTCCCCAATTTCTATTGTAATAGATTTTAATGTCTTGTAACTTATCACACTTGCTCATTTCTTTTGAACGTCTAATTTAAAATCACAGATTGCACAGGGCAGTCTAGTGATGAAGCATCAAAGAAATGCTAACTTTATTTGAAGAGTGTGTATTATTTAAAATCTCGAATAAGATAGCTGGAATTGTGTAGTCTCCTGTGCAAGACTACTACTTGTTAAAATCTTCTCTCTCCAGTAGTAATTAACTTAGTGGGTAAAGTAGATATAATAGATATTTGGGTAAGGCTTCTTTTTGGTATTTTATGGTTCTTGAGGTGTCTCTTACCTTTTAGGGATGGGGCTTTGAACATGCAAAGGAGACACTTGAACAAATTAATCTTGCATTTTACTACTGTTTAATTTTACTTGTCTTTCTCTTTTGGAACCTTGTAAGACAAATAATCAAGATCCTATAGCCTTTACTTTGTGATATAATAGAATCATGACATCTTAAAGGAGGGGACCTAAAGGGCCATCTCTACAAGTCTTTTACCCTGTGTGGCATTTTCTTTTTCTATATCCCTGACAGTTAGTATTTAATCAGCTACATTAAAAAAAAAAATGTAGGTCGTTATTTTCTGTAAGATATTCTGAGGAACTCTAGTTCCACAGAAACTGCACAAGTATTACTGAGGTGGGGCTGGGTGGGAAAGGGGTTCTGGGGTCAAATAATTTGGGAAATGCTGCATTAAACAAAGTTAAACAGGTTTCTTTACTGCAGGACTTCTCAGAACCTTTAATATGCTAATGTGCATTGTGAATCTCCAAGAGGGGGATATGATATGCAGCATTCTTGAATACTTCTAATGACAGGGAGCCCACTACCTCATAAGGTAACCCATTCCTTTTTTGTACAGCTCTAAAATCCTTAGTTCTTTATATTGATCTGAAGTCTATTTCCCGTAACTTTACGTCTATTAAGTCTTTATTGGTTATGCTGAGACCACCACACTGTCCTGTGTGATCCTTTGTGTGGTATGTATTTATAAGATTCTGGCTAGGCTTGTCTGGACACTTTTTAAAATCACTAAATACTTTCCAATAAATGTGATAACCAGTTCTAAAATCTTGGCCTCATTGTCACTATGCTTTTATACACTACTCTCGAGCTTTCTTCATTTTGAATTTCTGTAAATTTTAAATTTTACTTCGATGTTCCTCTTTTGGTTGGGATAATTTTAGTAGACAGGCTTCATTTCTATAAAGAAAGCTGGGAAATAGAAGACTTGCGTGTGTGCGGCAGCCTGGGCCGCCTGCTGGCAGGGAGAAGTGCAGGACCCTGCCGCAGACCTGTGGAGGAGAAAGTGTGGGAACCTGACCTGACCCCAAACACCACAAAAGCCCTGTCGTATGAACTGTGTATGTACTCCGTTTTTAAAAAATGAAGGACCTATCCTCTTCACCCCAAACCTAAACAAACAAGAGGAAGAAAAGAGGGATAATTTCATCATTTAATAATTGGGAAATGACATTAACTGTTTTTATATTTTGGAAACATGTAACTAGCTACAGTGATTTTTGTCAGTAGCCATCCTACTAGGGTTTGACAGTCGCCTTGCTAGATACAAAGGGCAGGTAGCCTCTGAAATTAGGGTTGCCAAACTGTTGTGCAGGAACATTTTCTGTTGAATTCTGTGGAGTGTCACCAAGAAATACCACCCTGAAACTAAGTCAGGGTATGTTGGAATTTGTTAAATGATAAGAAAACAGAATCAAGTTTTTTATGTTATTTCTTTGATTCATGTTAATAATGTTTAAAATTCTCAATAAATACTATTAAAAGAATTTTATTATTTTTAGCATCCATGGTAATTTTTAGCACTATTAGTTAACAATCAAAGATAATTGTTTTATCTTGCTGTGTTACTACAGAATTACTTAGTACTCGGTAAGAATTGTAACCTGGTATTTCAGTATTGGGCATGGGACAAGATGGAAGGACATGTAGATGCCTCCAGACTTTACTTTTTCCTATTAAAAAAATTAAATCTTCTTTAAACGTTGTTGAGAACATAGATCAAAAGTAAAGGAGCTTTCCATCAAATAAGTGCATGGTACAGAGAATGCAAAGCTGTCTGTTTTTAGGGACAGTCTGGGGCACACTCTTACGGATTTATTGTTACTTAAAGTAGCTTGATTGATCAGTCAAGTTCTTATTGAAAGAGGGTTTATGTCAGTTTAGTAACAGAGCAAAATATTTCTAAGCAGTAAAATCAGAGTTACAGCTTTCCTACAAGTTATAAGAATTATACTAAAAGTCCTAAAAGTCACAGATCTTCAAGCAAAACTACTGAGAAAAATAGAGAATTTGTTAATTGAAATATACTGTGTTGAGTTTTACTAAAAAGTTGAAGCGTAAGACTTGATGGCTTACAAGGACTTTTCATGTAGCTTCACTTTATTTAAACCTTGTAACAGTCTTATGAAGAAGGAAATATTATTCCCATTTCCCAGTTTACAAGCACATAAACCCTGAGGGCAAGAGTAGTCTCATAATGAACAAGTAGAATTAGGTTTTTTGTTTCTTTGCTTTTTTTGGGGAATGGAACAGTAAAAGTTCTTTCTATACCACCCAGCTTCCTTTTTTAGTGGGATTTAATTATTTCTTTGGTTTGTGGAAATGTTGCTTATTTGTTTGTGTGTTTTATTATTTGAAGGCAAGATGCCGTTGGGTGTCCCAGTGGTTTGATGTGTGCAGTTTTGAAGACTGTGAACTTTGACATGCTGTGGTATGCAAGTGCCCTTGCTGATAGTAGTGGACATAGCTGTTGGGTGGTGCAAGGCATTGTACTAGGATAAAGTGTGTCTGTTACTGTTTTGTGAGTCTGTTTATATTCACCTTGCAGTAACTGATTTGTTACTATAATTTATTAGAATTGGCCAAAATATAATAAATCTTCTTTAACAAATTTAGAAATTCTCTTTGATACTATAAATTACCCCCCAAATAGTGTTCAGATGATGGCAGATATATGTGTGTGTCTTGTTCATTTTAGTCTCCTAAAATTCTTTACCAGATAGAGACCTTTCTGAATAAGGATTTCAAATGAATCTTCTAATCCTTCATAAGTTTTTCTGTACTAGTCACTATGTTTTTTAACCCTTCAATTTTATTTTTAAGTAAAGTATGTAACTGGCATTTGGAGTCCTTGCCAGATAAAACTCGATGCCTTTGTATAGCTCTAATAATCAGATAGGAGTCTGATGGAGGAAGTAAAAGCTGTCATCTCCTCATTAACTTGAGTTGCAGGCTTATTGTCAGGAGAAGCACTCTGACATTTAGTCTCCAGGTTAAACTGTGACTTTACTTTTTCTTTCCTTGAGCATTTTGTTTGTTTAGTATCAAATTTTCTGATGCTTTACCCATCAGTCCTCACTTATTTATTTTTCTTACTTAAAAGGAGGTACATATTTTCATGAAAAATTTTGAAAATATTGATAGCTGAAAAGATGAAAGTAAGTAACTCAGTGCTATCACCCAGAGATAACTATGAGCAAACTATGAAGTGCTTCCTGACACAAATTCTAGACAGCTGGGAGTAGTAGTATTTTTTATAAATCTTCAGTTTAATAGATAAGTATCTTAGAATTTACATTTTTGTTTATTAAAGATAGCTGGTTTTAATGTTTGTTGGTCATTCTTTCTTCTTCTTCTTCTGAGAATTGCTTTTTTCATAGATTTTTGTTACTAATTTGTGAAAGCCCAAACTACATAAACAATATTAACTCCATATCACATGTATTATAAGTTCTGCATAGTTTTAACTTGCTGTTTGTTTCCAGAGTGTATATGAGTTCAGTAGAGTTGTGTGTTACATGTTATAACCAGAAGTATAAAATAAGCCTTTCTGTTTTTGAAAAAACTTCTTCAACTTCAAGGTGATTTTTGATTTAACAAGAATTATAAGGAATCATTTTTGGATACATTTTCTAGTAGAAACTTGGAAAAATTAAAACCACATACTGTTCTAAGGACTAAGAAAGTTAACCAATATAAGTTAAGAATTTGTAAGTTATATAAGTTAAGAATTTGAGTAGGGAGATTAATTTATTATTTAAAATTAAAGTAACTGTGTAGTTTTTTTTTCCCTTTTTGTTTTTTTTTGGTTTTTTTTGCAGTACTGGTGTTTGAACTCAGGGCCTTCTGCTTGCTAGGCAGGCACTCTGCCACTGGCCACTGCTCCAGGCCAGTAATTGTAGTTTTAACATCAGGAATTGCACATAGAGATGGCTTACATGACAGCAACCAAAATCTTGGTCTAAGTCAGTTACTAAATGATTCTAGTATTTATTTATTTATTTACTATTTTAGTTCCAAACATAATAGATAATTAGTAGCTAAATACCCAGGTTTGTTTATCATCCCCTAAGTGTACTCTTTATGAATTTTTTTGGTAACATTATCATTCTGTGGTGGGTTTTCCTGGCCTCCACAGGTGTAATTTTGAAGGGCTTGTACCTTGGAAATGTATTCTTTCTTCAGGTTAGAATGTTTCAATATTAAGTAACCACAGAGTATGAATCCTAGAGGAGACGTGGCCAATGGTGTTTTAAGCCTAGTGAGATTAAGCAAATAAAGGAAAACTCATATTCATAAGAATACTTCCATAGTTAATGATTCTATTATACATCTGTTAAATAAGTTTTCAGAGGATTATCTGAAAACTTACGTTGAATGTGGACATTCACCATATGTAACTGATTATTAGAAAATGTGAAGATTGTCAGTCTCATTGTATTGGTGTGAGACAGTGGTTCTAGTTTTCTGATTGTTCCCTTCCTCAATGCTGGAAAGCTGTTCTAGCTATACGTTTTCTAAGTGCAAGGAAGAAAAGAGATTTGTAATAAAGTTTAAACTTATACAGACTTTTGCTTTGGCAAAGTACCTAAAATCATGTCTGATTCCACATTTAAGAAAATAAGAGTAAATTGAAGGAGAAATTAGCCATTTAGTTAAAGTGCAGTAGTGATGAGTGGAGGATAGGAAGGTAAGGCTGGTGTCACATTTGTGGTCACAAATTTAAATTTTGACTTGTCTCTGCAGGCAGTTGTGCAAATAGTCAAAGAGATGCACAGGCAAGTTTTAAAAGAAGATGATGTTGATTATCAAGCTGGAAACATGCTCTCTGTTACTAGACTATCTCAAGTACCACACACAGTAGAGACATTCTTACACATCCCAGTTGTAACTGTGAATATAGCACAGCTACACTGCATTGACTTATCTATGTTAAGTATTTCAATCTCTTCTCTTTTCTTTTCTTTTTTTTTTTTTTTTTTTTCGTAGTGGGGTTTGTTGGTAGGCAGGTGCTGTACCACTTGAGCCACTCTACCCCTCTCTCTGTTAAGTATTAACTTGTTAGATTTAGAATGGAAAAGGTAGAGGATGCTTAAATTATACCAGAATTTCCCCTTGTCTTGAATTTCTTTGTTTTTAAATTAAAGTAAAAGCCCAAGCAAATAAAAGTGCCCTAGCAGTGTTAACTTCTGAGAGACCCCATTCCTAGTCTACCCTGATTCTTAAAAACATTTGGGTTGTTAGTTTTTCTTCCTAAGTGCAGCATGCTTTGGGTGATGACAGTCTTCCCTGCTGCTCTCCCTAGAACAGAAGTGATCCTGTTTGGCTCTGTATCTTCAGTATGTAGCATGTAACACAGTGCTGAGCACATAGTGGGTGTTTTGATGTTTCTGTGATAGTGACTTTTTTGTTTTTGTTTTTCTTAGTTATTTGAAACGTTGTATACTGGAATGCTCAAAGAATAAAACCCACAAAGTTTTGATACTGATACTGTTTTGGGAAAAAAAAATCTCTTTAGGAGTTTTGGGGATTTTTGTTTTGTTAGAAAAACTAGTATTTCTTAAAGTTAACTTATTTTATTTAACACAAATTTTTTTATTCTCTGCATAATGATCCCAAACATTCTCTGATCTATACAGCTGCAGCGACAAGAGGAGCTTGTCATTTTAAACAGAGGCTGAAGAAACTATAGAATTAGCAGGCAAGAGAGAGTGGAGAAGGTAGAGGATGGAGTTGCAGACTCTCCAGGAGGCTCTTAAAGTGGAAATTCAGGTTCACCAGGTATGTTGCATTATTGATTTCTCCATGTGCATGATGTAATGATGAGGATTAGTGAACAGGTCCATCTGTGGGTTTTAATACCTTTTAAAATAATTTTTAAGACATTTATTCAAGAGTCATGACATTTGTCTATTATCACTGCTCACCAAATGCACTGGTACTACTTATAAGAACTTTAATAAAATATTCCTGACTTTTCTAGAGAAAAGGTGTGAAAATATTGTTTTACAAACTTTTTTGTTGGTTTATTTTAAAGACTTCATTCATGGGTTGTAATGTTAAGCTCTACTACCATATATACTGAAGTGAGTGGTTTTTTTTTTTTGAGCAGTACTGGGGTTTGAACTCAGGGCCTTCCACTTGGTAGGCAGGTGCTCTACCACGTGAACCATGCCCTACCCGTTTTTTGCTTTAGTTATTTTTCAGGTTGGGTCTCCTGTTTTTTCCTGGGCTGGCCTTAGACCCTGATCCTCCAACCTATGGACCTACAGTCTCTGGCACAGCTGGGATGACAGACGTGTACCATCATGCCCAACTTATTAATTGAGATAGGGCATCTCTAACTTTTTGTCCTGGCTGGCCTTGACCCACCATCTTCCTGATCTCTGCCTTCCAAGTAGCTGAAATTACAGGCATGTACCACCATGCCCAGCCTCTTTTCTAAAGTTTTTACTCGTTATGTGAGTCACCTTTATGCCTTGGATCCAATCTTTGGCAAAGAAAATCTGATAGCTTTCATGGATGTTTAAATCTCAAATATTGCAATTTTTATATTTTACCTTAGGTACCCAGACTCAACAAACCTTTAAAATATTTAATTATAAAAATCCATATAAAAATAAAATATGTATAATTATGTTTTTATAGTAGGATAATGTTAAAATATTTAACATATTTTGATTTGTATCTGAATATTTAATGAATATTTAAAAATAAACATACGCAATCATAGCCAAGACAGAAATTTAGCCGGGCACTGGTGGCCTATGCCTATAATCCTAGCTACTCAGGAGGCAGAGATCAGGAGGATTGCAGTTCAAAGCCAGCCTGGGCAAATAGTTTGGGAGACCCTATCTTGAAAAACCCTTCACAAAAATAGGGCTGGTGGAGTGGCTTAAAGGCGAAGGCCCCGAGTTCAAGCCCCAGTAGCGTGCACGCACGCGCACACACACACACACACACACACACACACACAAACACACACGACAGAAATCTATCCATAAATAACTAAGCCATTAACATTTATTGTGTAAATACAGTATCACTATTTATGTCTTTTTTCTAGACATTAGCTAGCATTAGACTTGAGAAACACACACATATATAATTCTTGGTACTCAAAAGTGCTAAAGTACCTTTGAATGTGTGACATTTGTGAATGTGGGAATGGAGAGGAGAAAGGAACTCCTTTTTTTTTTAATCCCTGTGGTGCTGCAGATTGAACCCAGGGCCTTGCCCCTGCTAAGCAAATGCTCTACCACTGAGCTACATCCCCACTGGGAACTACTTTTTAAAGGTGTTTGTTCTTGGGCATAGTTTCTCTTGTTTAATCACCTCATATAACATTAATTTCTTAAATTGTTGAGAGATTGTGAGCTTTTTTTGACAGCTACTAAACTTACACACTGCCCAGTATTAACATGGGTGAGAATTTATAAAAAAGCTTCAGAGGTGCTTAATATGCGTGTATGGACGTGTGTGTGTGTGTGTGTATAAAATTTCTTAACAATGTTTTACATTAATGTAATAAAATATTTAATATGTTTTAATTTGTATATATTGACTTGAATGTATAAAAATAAACAGAATTTTAATCAAGGCAAAGAGCTATCATTTTTTACATTAGGTCTGTGTGTTCAGAACTGCTGCTGCTTGGGACCCTGTTAACTTTTGTCCAGTAGCAGGTCACCTTGTTGGTATGCTTCTTTTAGTATATAATAAATAGTATGCACTTCATTTATCCTTGCTTCCGGTACTAACTGAGGAAAGTAAAAATTTGTTTACTAAAAACCTTGACTTTTTTCTGGATGAAAATATTTTAATGTAGAGGAGTGGGGAGTATCCAATTTGGATCAATGGTACTTACAAAAGCTAAATTCATAATTTGTGTGAGGCTGACATCATCACAGAAAAGAATTTTGGGAATATAGTAATCAATCTGAAATTTGTGTGGCTCAAAGATAATTTTATAATATTGCGTATGTTTTTATTTTGGTGGTACTGGGGGGTTGAACTCAGGGACTCATTCTTGCTATTAGTGGTGCTCTACCACTTGAGCCTTTCCACCAGCCTGATATTGTATATGATTGTTAGAATTTTTCCTCCTTTCAGATTTTGTGATGGCAAAGTTAACATTCTACTTTTAGTTCCTCTACACAAGATAGGAAAGAGTCCCAAACATGCCTTTTTTGAAAGACTCATGACCTAAATTGAACTTAACTTTTAAATAGAGTTCTTCAGTATTTTTTTGTTTTATATCTTTAGTTCAGGCATACCAATTTAATAAACATTACAATTATGAAAAAATTTACTGAACTCAGGGCCTCACGAATGCTAGGCACTCTACTAGCCCTTTTGTTTATATTTTGTTCTTTGTATACACTTGTTATTGAACTCAGAGCCTCACCAACTTCGGGCAGGCTGGCCCTCCAAACTCATGATGTTCCTACTTTGGCTTCCAATTAGGTGGGGTTACAGGCATGCACCATCTTGTCGGCTGGAAGTTAACTTCTGCTCATTATGTTTTCTTTAGGTGTGGGGAGATACAATGATGTTCAATAAATATTTATATTACACTGGTCATCTTCTGGGGGATGCCACCTTTTGCCTCCCTTTCTTTGACTGTTATGTGGATTTGTTGGAGTCTGTCAGACTATTAACTCCATATGGACTGGAGAATAGTATAAAGCAGAAGCTAACAAACTTTTTCTGTACAGAGCCAGATGGTAAAATATTTTAGGCTGTGCAGGTCATTTATAGTCTCTGTCACAATACTCTGTAGTTGTTCCACTGTCTATAGACAAGTTAGCTACACAGTCAGTATATAAACAAATGTGTGTGATTGTATTCCATAAAACTTTATTTACAAAAACAGATGGTGGGTTGGGTTTGGACTGTTGGCTGTTGTTTGCATATCTTTGGCATAAAGACTATCATGAAAAATTGCATTCGTGTAGTAGGAAGAAACTTAACTTTGACAACAATGTCAGCTTAAAGTCACTAGGGATTTCGAGGGTGTAATAAGCTGCCCAGCATGACCTGTTCTACCCCTGAAAGTATGAAATACAGTTTAACTGCTTAGATGTAGAACACTTGATTTATTTATTTCCTCCAGAGGTGGAAAGTTAGTGTGGTTGTCATTCAGTTTTTAAAATCCAGTGTCATGGAAAAAAAGCCTTTTCAGCTTCAAAAGGTAACTTTAGTATAAAAGCCAATTCTCCAGTAACCAAATCAAAAAGGATAGCCAGACTCTTTTGATTGAAGTGCTGTTAGATTTGAAAAAATAAAAGTTTACATATAAATCCTTGTGTCTCAGTTCCACTGAACCCTTGGAATGTGTGCTGTTACTAGTGCGTAGATTAAGACTAGGCTATTGAAGATCTATTTAGTGATGTGCGCTTTGTGGATTTGGAGGTCACATAGTTGGCAAACTCAGCTCCCTCAATGTATCTTAGCACCAAGAAGAAAGGGTTTTGTCCAGTTCGAATAGATGTCAGAAGTCATTCACCAAAGATTATACATTTACTCAAGAGGGATTTCTTAGGTTGTTACAGCCTATTCACTCATCTTAAAATTAGTCCGGTGAGTATATCACACAGCAGATCCAAAGCAGTAAATTTGAGTTGGGGTTCACAGCTGTTAGAGGAGGCACAATAATAGCAAGATTTGTTAGCTAACTGCATGGCATTAAGAAGTATACTAAAAAATTAAAATGAACAGAACTTAAAATATCAATTTAGGGCCTTTTATTGCAAAGACCTTATTGTACAGTTCATAAGACAGTATTTTCATAGTATTATGTCTCTTAAGCAATAAGAGCTTGACTTTTTCTGTTTAATAAAGTAGATGAATATATTATATATTTTAGAAAACTTTTATTTTATAGCTAAACAATTTAAAAATGCCTTGTTACTCAAAGGTGACAGATTTTTTCCACTATATGAAAAATCTTAGATACTTTTAGGAATCAGCCTTCTGATATTCCTTTATCTTTAAAATTCTTCTGTCTGTAGTTATTGTTACCTTTGGGCAATGATATTTTTACCAATTGCGTTAGGTCAAATGACATTTATTTTTGTTTTTTTTATATTTGTTGGGCTTGTGTTTTCCTTGTATTAGGGTAGCATTTTCTTCCCAGAGAAACACAGGTAGGTAGTTTTGTGTTGTTCCTACACTTTCTTATTCTCAAACACTAGCATTGCTTCACCGCACATATCCTCCCTGTGTCCTCTTGCCTGAGAACAGACCTTAGCAAAGTCACATCTGACACCAGGCTCCTTCTATTGTAAGGACCAGACCAACAGACCTGCCAAATCTGTAATAGCTGTGCACAAACAGGCCTGTTTTTTATGAGCGAGCTTCTTTCTAGGCCTGGGTTGGGACTCCTGATAGTTGATAGTATTTTAAAAGGATGTTTGACTTTTGGAGCATACACCTTATTTAAATTATCTCTCAAAAGCCACCCTTCCTCTCCCATGTCTCCATATTTAAAGATCAGGTACTCTTTCATTTTAAATGTAAAGTAATAGTTTGATTCTTTTTTCTAGAGGAGTGTTTGTTCGTTAGCTTTTTACATAGATCATAGAAACTTTTTAGTCTATTTTGATTGTGGTGTTGCTCTTTTATTTTTTGTGGGGAACTTAAAACCCTGATTGGTTTTGGTTCAAACCTGATTAGCTAGAGAGAGTTAATATGTAAGACTGATGGTTCTTTTTTCTCTTCTTTGCCAGAAACTGGTTGCTCAAATGAAGCAGGATCCGCAGGTAAAATATTATTGTTATTCACTTAACTTTTCAATTAAAATGACTACAAATATTAAAAATGTAGATGGAACTTAAATTTAAAAAACTATTTCATCCCTAGCAGCAAATATTTTCAGTACATTTTTCTTCATGTTTTCTAGGCTTGGAAAAAAAAATCCATCCATTCTATTATAATATAACTGACATTCCATCTTTGTTACTGTTATTTTCCTTTTATGTTAATTGCCTTGAGTATGTTGAGGAAAAAAATTGAGAATTAATTGTCTTCATATAGTTTAAATTTCATTTCCAGAAACTCAACTTTTTCAAAATCAGAGTTTATAAGACTTTCTGTATACTCACGCTTGCTGGAAAATGATCCCAAACCATTCTCAGTTACATGAATTTTATGTTATAGAAAATTTAAACACTGAATTTTACTTGTTCAGAGTTAGAAGTTTAGAATAATTTTTAAAGAAGCATTTTATATTTGGAAAAAAAAAACCCTAAAGAGGATATCAAAGTAACCTTATATAGTGTAATAACCCAGAAAATGTTAACTTTTAAAGTTTTTTTCATAGGATTTTTGGACTCTAGCATTTTAGCCTCTATTTTTGGCAAGAAGTTGTCCCAAAAAAGTTACCCTGTCTTCCAGTGATTTTTATGTATTAGACCCACTGTCTAATGGTTGTAAAAGAGACACTTGGTCACATATTTTTCTTTATAAAGTCAAATTCTTAAAGAATGGTACTGAGGCAGATTGATTTTCTATTTTTTTTTTTTTTGCAGTACTGGGGCTTGAACTCAGGGCTACACCTTGAGCCACTCCACCAGCCCTTTTTTTGTGAAGGGTTTTTTTCGAGATAGAATTTTGTTAACTGTTTTCCCAGGCTGGCTTCAAATTGGGATCCTCCTCACCTCTGCCTCCTGAGATTACAGGCATGAGCCACTGGCACCCAGCGCAGATTGATTTTTGAAGTGGAAAATAATATTCATCTTTACATATTGAGGACTTAGTTATCTGACTATACTGTTTTAACACAATCCATTCATTCTGAGCTGGCATGTGTAGTCCATATTTATTCTGTTTGTTAGTCCAGCTTTCATGAGAAACTGCTTTTTAATTTTTACTTTTTAGTATATTACAGTTTAAATTGGATTTAGGGAGCTGCGAGACAATAGACTCTAGACTAACAGATTCTTTCCTGTTTAATGTAACCTATATTCTCAGCAGCTGAAGTATTCTGAGAAGTGAGCATTCCTAATGCAGCTGGTAATCATGTAAGAGGACAGTTTTGATCTGAAAAATCCAAGGGGCAGGGACTTGTTGGATAGCATTATAGATGATCTCAGAGAAGCCCATGTCAAATACACTTTTTATTTAAAAAATCCAAATGGAGTAAATTTGAAACTCAGGAGATGAGGTAGATGTGTACCCTGACGCTGACGGAAGACCAGGCAGGGTGGTTTGAAGGAATCATGTTTGAAATGAAAGAATTTGTTTGAAATAATTGAGTAAAAAGCAGTGTGTCATTGGGTTGTGTTCTGTCTGCTAGTAGGCTCTCATCCTATGTTAAGTCTTTGAAAACTTGAATTTTGCATTGCTATCCCCCTTGAGTAAAAGGCAAGCATGCTCAGTGTGTCTCATCTAAAATAGTGTTCTTTTTTTGATTTCTAGAATTTTAGAACTGAGAAAGGGCCCTGGTAGTCAGTGTGTTAATTTGAATGATGTGGTGTTAAGGCAGTTACAGTACTGACAGCTTTTCAAATCTAGGCTAAAATAACAAATGTACTTTACTAAATAAGGGAGAGGATGAGTAGAGAAAAACCTCTTATCTTTGTTGATAATGCTGCAAAGCATGCCAGGGTATGCATACTTAGAGCCTCCATTTTCCTGTTTTTGTCTGATTAATGGAGCTTTAGGTTTTCAGTCAACTGACATTTTCTATAAAGAATAACAATGTTTCAGTAGAAAGTTACTGTTACGGTGCAAGATGCTAAAATGTACAACTTCTTGTAATTTAAAACAGTTTCAAAGTGGATACACCTATTTTGTGCTTGGAGCCCACTTTTAGGATTTGCATATTAGGGGTTGATGTTATGATTCTAATTTAATGCATGACAAATTTAATTGACTACATGCTTAAGGTTGCTTCATCATTTGTAATACAGTATGCATATTCTTCTTGCTACTATTCTGTTAACAAATGAATATTTTTCTCACAGATATTTTTTCTTTCCAATCAGAATGCTGACTTAAAGAAACAGCTTCATGAACTCCAAGCCAAAATCACAGCTTTGAGTGAGAAACAGGTAGCGGAAGGGGGGGGCGGGGCATATTTTTAACATTGTGTTCTAAAGATATGTCTGCTTGAGGCTTCTAAGAGAACTGCTATTTTTCCTCATGTGTGAAAATAAGTGTGGGCAGCCAGACTCGGTTTCAATTTTGCTTGAGCTCTGTTTATCTATTTTTATTTTTGGTAGAAATCAGTCTCTAGAGTATCCCGAGAGTATATGTTACTGGCAAATATCTAAAAGCAATGTGGCAGGCTGCCGTTCACTGTGTTAATTAAACTCTCTAGTTTACCCATAGGGGAAGGGGTAAAGAAACTTAGTGGGAATTTGTGGTAGAGAATCCTGGAGCTGCCGTGTGTGTCTTGTTTCCTGTTTTAAAGGCTCCTGAAAGGCTCTAGCTGACAGTTAACTTACTATGGAGAGAAGAGCTGTTTGTTAAGTAGGTCTCTACAAGTAGGTCTACCATCCTAAGTATTGTCACACATCTATGTTAATCTTCACTAGATATTGACCTACTGTTTGAAGACACTTTGGTGGAAACTTGGTAAGACTTACTCTATATAATAGGGCAAGAGAAGAGCACCTCACTTTTTTCCAAGGACAACTGAAAAATACTGTTTGGAATTTTTTTTTTTTTTTTTTTTGGTTGTACTGGGGCTTGAACTCAGGACTTTACACCTTGAGTCACTCCACCAGCCCTGTTTGTGTTAGGTATTTTCGAGATAGGGTCTCGTGAACTTATTTGCCTGGGCTGGCTTTGAAACGCGATCGTCTTGATCTCTGCCTCCTCAGTAGCTAGGATTACAGGCGTGAGCCAATGGCACCGGTTTGGATTTTATTTTATTTTATTTTTTAATGTTGATCTCCACTTCACCAATTCAGGCACTTCCTGCCACCAGGTGGAGTGTGTCAGTGGATAGAGCTATAAGTAAATGTCTTAGTTATCTGATAAAGCATGTGTTTTCTTCTTTCTTCCCCACTACTTTCCTTCTGGTTAAAAATAACATTTTCTCTTATAGGTAACTATGTGAACCACAAGGATGAAGTGATTTGTAGTTTTAATTCACGCTAGTGACGTCTTACTGAAGATTTTTGATGAAACAATCCTCAATAACTGTTTTTATGTTGTTTTTTTAAACTTTTATTTAGTAAATAAGAGCAATAAGTAATTTATTCCCAGAAGTTTCTGAGTGTGTCTGTCTTGTGTGTTCATCTAACTGAGGGGACAAATACATTTTGGGAACTGTACAGAATAGATGAACTAATTAGTTATCTTCCTCAAGCTGAATGAGCAACTGCTTTTTACTCCTCCCTCCCATTGTTTTGCTTCCTCATCTTGTCTTCTGCACGGATAGCAGATATTTTAGATTAGGGAGTTGCCAAAGTAAAATTGAGATGAGGACGGGATGGTGGGGAACAATTTGTAAGGAAGAATATAAACAGAGTTGTTAGTGTTCTTTTGGCTCTGAATGTGATTCAGTTGTCTAACATCAAAATGATGTGTGTGAAGGAAAGTGTTCTACCTTTTGCGTTACGGTAGCAGTGAGCCTCCTTAGAGTTTCAGGGTTAGTTGACAAAATGCCAATGAGTGAGTCACTTCTGCTGAAAATTTTCATGTGTTACAGCAGGGAAAGAAGATGAGAACCGATTAGTGGAATAGGGGAGGGAATGCCACCGCAAAGTTAAAACAACCCAAGTCTTACATAAAGGAAGAAATTGCATTATTTGATTTTTATGTTTCTGAGAAGTAATGCAAAATTTGGTTTATTTTGTAACTTTTCACTCCTTTTTTTCTAGTAGAGAAGTCACTTCGTAGAAAAGTACAGCCATCTTTGTTCAGGAAGACATTTCATCAGGTGGTGTACTAGTTGTCATCTAAACTAAGTTTGGATTTGGAATTTTTAAAAAATTATCTAACATAAGGAAAACCTTAAGTATACAAAGAAAACTGGAGTCAGAAACTGAAATGCAGTTTTGGCATTTTTATAACATTTGCTCAACTATTAAAAAACCTTCTTGATGGAACAGGAAAACATTTTTTTTTAGGTAGGATTGTATTGGAAGGGAGCACAGCTGTAAAGTGTAAAAGCTGATCTTTCCTCAGACTTATTTCCAGCATGGAATGCTGCTATTGCTAGTTCAGCTGTAGTTTAAAATTGTTGTTTAGAACAAGTTCTTCATGCTTTATGCCCATCTTTTTGTTTTTCCTTCTCAAAAGATCCACAGCCTCTGGCCAAACTTACTGATTTTCCTTCACTTTAGTATTAAAATCCAAATTACCATACTCACATGACTAATACTTTAATGTAACATTATGTTTTTATTGTGAGAAATTTAAAATAAGAAAATCATGAACAATAATGGCTCACTTCAGAGTTAAGACTGATGAACTCTGCGTCATTCTTTTTCTGGTGCATTTTTCTAACATTCATTTTAAAACTTAATTATGCAAGTAATAGATGCAGACATTTTCTTATTTTGCTTTATTAAAAATATAAAGCATTGCAGGTAGTCACTGATTCTTACAGTGGACACTTACTGGTTCTTACTCATTATTATGGCCTCAATCTTTGATACTTACTCACTTTTTTCCTCAAGGCTGGTTTTGTGGACTAGGGATATCGCTCAGTGGTAGAGTGTTTGCCTAGCATGCTTGAGGTCCTGGGTTCAATCCTCAGCAGTGTAAAAAAGAAAAAAAAAAGACTAATTATATAATGATGCTCTTTCTCAGGAAAATATGGTCCTTAACGAGGATCCTTCAGTGGCTAAAACTCAGTGACTTCCACTGAATTCTTGCTTAAAAGGTTCTGGGGCTTTCCAATTGTAATTTCAGATTTGCGCACAGAGACTCTAGGGCAGATTTTGAGGGCAGCTTCTTGACCTACAGTGCTTTAACTTGTGGTTGACAGTTTTAACTCAGGAAATCTCTAGACTATACTGAATAAATAAACTATATGTTATGTATTAAAATCACGGTTTAGTGACATAGAAATAGGCTCCTGATAAAATAAATGAAAAGGTATATTCAACTTTACATGCATTATAATCCTATTTTTGTGTTTGATCGATGTATGAATCTATATGGGCATGTAAATTTGTATAAAAACAGTGTCAGTGAAAAATGTTGGAAGGTGGTGATTTTATAGGTAGTTTATTTTTTTCAGTGTACTCTATGTATATTTTCTAAATTCTCCATAGTATGTTTTGCTTTTAAGATCAGAAGTAAACAAAAAATACTATTTTTTAAACCCACCCTCTTGTCTATGCCAGGGGTAGCATAGACATTTAAAAATCTCATTTCTCTTCATGATTCAAGAAGTACTCTAATCAGAGAATTAAACAGTTTTAACAGTAGTAATGGTAAAGGGCAGAAGCAGCCATTAATTTCCTTAACAGGAAGCATTCTCATTCTGTACTTCCCCACCCCTTATATTTGACAGGCATAAATGATCCTTTTCTTGTCAGAATAGAGAAATTTTGATGTCGGAGCCAAAAACGCTCAGTTGCTCTAGTGCTTTGTTTTAATTCTAACTTTTTAGAGAGCCCCCCCTCCTCCAGGCATGGAACTCCAGGCATGCTAGGCAAGCAGTCTGTACCTCAGCTATACCCCTGGCCCAAGAGGTGATCTTAACATTCCAAAGATTATTCCTTGTCCCTGTGGGGATTCAGGCCCAAGTTGCATCTTTGGTTTTCCCTACTTAAACAGTTTGCCAGCCTTTCATCTGGAGGTTTCACCTTACTTCCTCTTAGAAGCCATCCTTAAAACACTTTCCTCCAGTGAAAATCAGCCATTTCTACCATAATCTCATTGAACCCTTCATTTTTCCTTCATATTAGTTATGCCATTTAAGAGTCAGTTCATCTTGGAAATGACTGAAAAACCCCAAATAAAGATGGCTTACACAAGGTAAAATTTTCTTTCTCTGTCATCTGAAAGCTCTGTAGGTGGACTGGGGTTGGTGAACATGGTTCAACTGTGTCAGTGAACTCAGGCTCCTCCTGTTTGGTTGCTGTGCCATTCTCAGCATGATGCTTCCAAATTATAGTCTAAAATAGCAGCTCCATCTGGTCAGAAGGGGGAAAGCAACAGTACGGAGCCCTTCATTTGAAGAATTTTTACGGAAGTTGTGTGTACCCCTTGCACTTAAATCCCCTTGACTTGACCTTTGTCCCATGGCCTCAGCTAGGAGCAAGGAGGGCTGGGAAATGTAGTTTATTTCGAGGGACTAGACTTGAGTAAGAAATGGGAAACAGGTACTGGAAATAATTACCAGTGTCCACTACATAGCATATCACAGTTTGTAATTATATATCTGTTTACGTGATTACTATTTTTAAAATAAGTCTTCCTTATTAGATTGTTAGTTTTAAGAAGGCAGGGAACACGTTACTTCTTTATTCCTAGTATAATATTTAACAGAGAATAATACTTAGCACAGAAGAAGCATTTGTATTTCTTAAATGTATTTTATCTAACTGATCCTTCTCTGCTTATAATTCTTTTTTATTTTAAAGAACAGTGCATCTTGCTTTTTAAACTTAATGTATTATGAATACTTCCTTACATTTTTTTTGAGTATTCTTTGAGAACTTTTTTTTTTTTTTTGCAGTGCTGGCCTACACCTTGAGCCACTCCACCAGCCCTTTTTTTGTGATGGGTATTTTTGAGATAGGATCTCTAGAACTGTTTGCCCAGCTGGTTTCAGCTGGTCCTCCTGATCTCTGCCCTCTGAGAAGCTAGATTTACGGGCATGAGCCACCAGCACCTGGCTGAGAACATGATTTTTTTTTAACAGCTTCAAATATTTAGTTGTCTGGTTATATTGTAATTTAAAAAACTATCCTTCTTATTATTTGATGATAGGCTTCCCTCCCCCCCCCCCAGTTTTTTGTTATTATAAATGTTGCTATTATAAGTACCCATATATGTAAGTCTGTGCTTCTCTCTGGATTGCCTTAGGACAAATTCCTAGGTATACGATTCCTGGGTATACTGGTCAACTATTGCCATAACAGTT